AAGACAATAGGTTGGTAAGTACTTTTCGGTGGGTGGTGCCACAGTCACTCCATCAAGAAACTAATTGCTAATTAAATTGTACCTGATATACACAACTCTAACGTGCCAACGAAATCTGAAAATAACTGCAAATTGCGACCGATAATTTTTTACTCGGTGTATGTTATCTGGCTTAAAAATATAGCCACTTATTTAATGTGACGAGACTACTATGATTTATAGACCAGTAAAAACTATGACTTTTTAGTATTTAAAATATTAGAATTAGAACTCTACTAAGCAGCCCTGATAGCCGCGCGTCTCATTGAAACCGGTGAACTGTTCATTAGATTTGGAAATCAAATCTCTAGTTGCTAACATTTGACAATACTAACTTACTAACTATTACCTTTATTAAAAAAAAAATTAGAATTAAATGTGAAATTATTTAAATATTTTAAATAAAATTTTATTATATTTTAACTTATTAAAAATATTTATTTTTTTATAAACAATCTTAATATTTTAATTTTTGGTACATTTTAATGTTTTTAAAACTCTATAATTTATGATAGTTAATTAATATGGTAAGATTGTGTGTCTCAAAGTTGTTCTACAATATTCTACATCATGACCCCATTTCAAAAACAAAGAGGTCCTTTCAATATGGTTGAAAATTTGAAATATTGTAAAAATATTGTTTGACTAAAATTCTTTTTATAAGAGTATTGACATTTAAACTCTAATTTTAATTTTATAATTTTAATTTTATTAAATTATTAAATAAATACTTACTCTTCATTTATTTTTTTTATAAGAAAAATTATTTTAATATTTGTTTTTCATTTAAAAAGCTTAAATTTAAAATTTTATTTTAAAAAAATTAAACTCTTTTCATATTAACAGATAAGTTATTGGTTATTCTTCGTCTAATAATTTATGCAATTTACAAAAGAAAAAAAGGATAAAGGCTGAACCGAGTTTTTAGATCTAATGGTTCGACTTCAAACTTTAAGTGCTTAGGTGAGGTGATCGGAGTTTTGAGCTCCACCACCCTCGTGAACTCCACCAAAAAAAGGTCTAATGGCAACACGCCTCATTTGAGAGGGTGAATTGTTTATCCGGTCTGAAAATCAATTACTAACAACTAATTCAAACTAACTTTTTAATTATTATTTTGGTAAAAAAAAAAAAAAAAATTCAAATTTAAAATTTTATTTTAAAAAAATTAAACTCTTTTCATATAAACGAGTAAGTTATTGGTTATTCTTCGTCTAATAATTTATGC